AAAAGTACTTTAAAGTGTATAAATAAGTTACCCGGGCAATTGATTTACATCAGCCAATCATATGAAAGTCCTCCTATAATCTGACATAGGCATATTTTATCGCCAAATCATGTGATAAACCCATTTACCAAAATCTTTCCCTAGATCGCCACCAACATTTTCACCGGCACGTGATTATGTGTAACACAACGAAAAATTCTTTAAGTTCAGTTAGGTTAGGGTTAGAGTTAGGGTTTGGGTTAGGGTAAGCTAAAATTGCTCAAGAAAAACTTTTTGTTAAAGCACTAAAGGTGGTTTTTTATACTATATTTTGAGTTACAAGCGATTTTTGACGTTTGTTTTGATTTTTCCTGATCGTGTAACGTTACACCTGATCTAGAAATGTGACTGGTTTAAAATCACATGCAGGTAAAATTTTGAAAATTTGGTGGCGATCTAGGGGTAGTTATTTACCAAATTTATCATCGATATACCGTATATCGAGGATACCAAAAATCGGCCAAACATAATGTCCCATAAACCTGATTGCAGTAAAAGGTTTGAGTCTTATATGGTTAACTTTCTCGTGATTGATTAAGTTTGAGTCTCATATGGTTAACTTCCTCGTGATTGATTAATTGAATTATACATTTTAGAATACTTCAATAATAAATTTTTTTGAACTTTTCGTTCATGTTATTAAGAAGACTCCTCACAAATTAACTTTAAGCATCTCTGGGATTCGTCTCAGGCTGCTTGAAATTATAATTTCTTTTAACGTTCCTCTTGGGTCTTAAAAATGCACTGGGAAAAGAGGTCAATTATCTTATTACAGCCGCGTGACTTATTGAAATTTCAGAATTGTTTAATTTCGGGTAAAGCTCTCGGAGGTAGAGGGGGAAAATGTTAAATGATCTAGGTATATTTCACTTATAGGCAGTTTTAAGCTAGAAAAACGCGTAATAAACATACTGTAATAGATCATATGTCTCGTGATCTTAAAAGTAACCAATCATTAAATGATATTCAATTTATGTGATCAACCAATCACAGGAAATCAAAAAAAATCTATGGTTATAATTTAGATTTAGATGCATGGGAACTTCAGAATCAAATAACTTAAAAAAAATTTTTGGATAATGTCATCAGAACGAGGGATTCTTCCGTGTAGTTATAGTTTACCACCACCACCACCACCACAACGACTGCCACAACGACCGTCTCGAACAAATAGTTATGGTCGTGATCGTGGAGGTGCGCCTTCCAACTTTCAAATTAAACAGTGTCCAAGTCAGAATAATTATAGACATTATCACCAATCGCACCAGCAATACATTATTACAAACAATTCTGTATCAAATAAGCAAGAATCTAATGTATTACGTGATTTATCAAGCTCATGTTTCGAGCAGTCAACTTCATTTTTAAATCAAACGCAACAAGCCACGGTAGTGTACACTCAAACATGTTTTAATACGATTCAGTTAACACCATTAGACGTTGACCCATATGTTATATCATTGAAATGTTAATAGACACCACTTAGTTCAATACCATCTGGTTTTGGACAAAATAATTCAGAATATGAAATGACGATTCAACCTGGATTTGCGGCTTCACAAGCTGCAATTGCTGCAACTACAACGCTTCTCTATAAAAGCCAACATCGACAAAATGATATTGACAAACATCAAAGCAACAACCAAAATCATGAATCGAACTCAAATTCTTCTAGTACAGGGTTAAATCAAAAAAAATTATTGGAGCTTTACGAACTTGGATTGCATGATGATGAACCGTAATTATCAATTTGAGATATGTAATCGGCAGCAAAAATTCATTTTAAGTATATATCTAATAATGAGTGGCTTTATATAGATATTTGAAACCCATAATAGATTTCAAACTTGATACTCCTGAAGCAATCGCTAAATGGATTGAAGATAGAAAAAGAAATTATCCAACCGATGCTAATATTGCACGAAAGGTAATAAGTTCTCTCACCTAAACTTTAAGAAATTCAAAAGGGCTTCCTATTTTATCCTTAGCCTTTATAAAAATTTATATCATTATATTCCCAATCACAATAGCAACAAGTAGAAGCTGAAAAGATCTCACGAGGGCTGGTAATAAAAGCTGATAAAAATGGATTGAAACGCAAACTTAAACAAGACGACGACTATTCGAAAAGGAAAATTAGTAGGCATGAAATAGACGAATTCGGTGGCCCATGTGGAATTACGGATTTGGTAATTGCGGCTGAAGCAGCTGGAACAACTCTTGATTTGGACAATCCGACGAACTTTATTCCGGCTTATAAGCCTACTTATAAAAATAAGAAAGATTCTGAATCTACAAATATTATAGAAAGGTTTTATAGCAATATCTGTATTAAATATCGACCTGGTCACTGCCCCAGAGGGAAAAAATGCGGAAATCGACATAGGGGAATAATGGTACTTATTTATGATATAATAATTTTTAATTGTGTTTTCCATAAATAAATTTTAATTATTTTTCATATTTAAGATTTGCCCACCACTTCAACGCCCGCCAGATCATCAAAGAATCCGCCAAAGGAATCTTCGTGAAATGGTAACTGGAATTCGTTATCTTCTACATACATTGTCTTTATTACCTATTTTTTAACACATTAATTACGTTTTCTATTCTTCTTTAGTTATTATATAAAGAAAAATCACAAGAAAAGAACGCAATTTTGCAATGTCTCAGATATATTGTTGATGCCAATTTTTTTGGTGTTGTCACAAATGATTCTTTGAAAAATGCTAAAGGACCTTTAATTGAAGTAATTGATCAAGATTCGTTAAAAAAAAATATATATAGTTAATATCTCTTAATCCTAATATCGTATATATAAACATTTTGAGTGAGATTACATTAAATAAATTAAGTTGTAGAATAGATGTTTTAAAAAAATTAGTTGATATTTATCAAAAGTTTACAAAAATTATATATATTCCGTATAATACAGTACAGCAGTATGAACTAAAAATTTTATAATATATATACTGTATATATATATGCAGTTATACAGTATTAATATATATAATAAATTTGACCTCTATGATTGGCACACTTCTCTATAATCCCATTTTTTGTATCCAGGTGTGATTATACATGCCGCACAAACTACAAATCTTTAAAATCCCACTCAAACCTAAATCCCATGTGGAAAAATCCCAAATCCCAAACTGGACAAACCCTATTTGGGCTGACAAAATCCCAAACTCTGGCCA